GGTCTTTGAATGTGCCGTTAGCTCATTGGACACGATTAACAAACTCTCCTAACAGTGTGAGACAACACGAGAATGTGAATACATGAGGATGAACATACATGAACATAAAATATTATACTGTAAGCCTGTAAAATTAAACATGAAGTAGCGCACCATAGTATAGTGTGCTTCATGTTCGCAGAACCTTATTCCTGAATGCATTTTCCCAGTACAAAAGTGTGCACACCAAGATATTTAGATAAAGAAACTGTTGGTATTTCTGTTTGCCTTTGCAGAATCCAATACATTAGTTAAGGGTAAAAGTGGAAATATTTTATATTTATATTTATATCTTGAAAAAGTAAAAATCTATGTAAAAATATTCATAACATCTGGCAGGTCACACACTGCATTGCCCAAATATAGTAAAATATCATCTGAATACATCTGAATATAATTGGATATAGTTTCCATCTTAACTAGGTGTACGTTTTCTTATTAATACATATGAATTAGATGCACAGTATACAGTTTTAATAGTGTTCTGGGTTTGTATGACCTCAGTGAGGAAATAGTAAACGGGACAATAACCACAATCTTCACGTTTATTTATTTCGAACATTACAAGCAACGAGAAACTCACAAAAGGTGAAATCATAGATAATTTACTCTTGATGTTGCCTATTCATACATTGAAGCTCGAGCTCGAACATTGTGAATCATTGCGACCTCAAGAGGTCCTTTAGCATGCACAAAAATATGAGGCAGTAGAAAGCTACATGTTTTGGTAAATATCCTCACGGAGACTGTGAATATCCAGAGTGTCTTCAGCAAAGGGCTGCTGTACATTTACAAAGTCGTCATTAGTGGCGCTGGTTTCTTCTCCATGAGCTACCTCTTTTACAACACTATTTTCATACATCTCTTCCTCTTTGTTGCCCTCAGCAGCGGCATAGATGTCCTTGCTTTCCACATGATTATGACCATTGATCTCCTCTCCCTCATACTCATGATATTCATCACCCTCCTCTTATTCCATACTTCTTGTTTCCTCCTGTCTCTTCTCAGAGTGCACTGCTTCAAAGTTTGCATCACGCTCTTCCTCCTCCTCCTCCAAGTCTTCATAATGGTTCCTGACAGACACTGAAACACAAGTATGGGAACAGAATGTGTCATGAATATTAGAATCAGTTCTCTAAAATGTACTGTTACTCGCACCCTCTGAAAGGCAACCACATAGATAGACGTATGTCTTGAAAAAAGGTAATACAACACAGTTTATAAAGTCTTATGTCATGTGTGTACTGGTGAACAGACATTGAGTTAGGACGATGGTTGCAGGCTGCCTGGCTTGTTGTCTTCTCCTGAGAAAGACCACCACCAAGACCAGCAAAACCCCCAGCAGGATCCCAGCAACTACTGAGGAGACCAGCAGCAACAAAGGCACTAGGAGAGAATTTAGGAGAAACAATTTGTCCTTAAAACATGTCTGATTTTGGTAATAAGTAATACAAATAAACATGCAAACACAGTTTTGGTTTAAGTACCAAAAAGTGGCTGACTCTCTCAAAAACAACAATGGCAGCTGCCAAAGAAGTCAGAACTGGAGAGTATTTCTGAATTGAAAGAAGAGCAAAAAAATGGCACTGAAGGCTTTTCTCGATGGAAAATATATTTTTGCTCTTCTGCTGACTGGCTTGGGCAAGAGTTTGACTAAGTTATATGGTTTGTTGATCTGATTTGTTAAAATGTGCCTGTGATAGACAGATGGTAATGATAATCAGATGGTAATGATAATCCATCACCTTTAGTATTTAGTATTTTTTTTAAAGTGCCTGCCCGGTTTTCTGTAACAAACCATCTGATGTAGTCAGGTTAGCTTGGATTTAAACAACTGCAGGACCTTGTTTATTAGGTCTAATGGTACAAGAGTATTGACAGAGTATGTGTATTCAGATAACTGTCTTAAACAAGTTTCAGCTCAGATGTTTAAAATCTCACCATTAACACCTTTTCTTCCATCCACACCACGTCATAGTTCAAATATGTCAAAGATATTCATTTATTTTTTTATTTTTTCCTTACCAGTAAAAGAGAGTCTGACAGCATCACTTAAGGGGGAGCTGAGGTCTCCACTTGAAACCTGTAACTGATACTGACACTTATACGATCCCATGTTATCAAAGTTGGCTTTGAGGATGCTGAAGGTAGCAGAGTTGGTACTTGACGTTTGGGTCTTTCTGAAAGAGCCTGAGGTCTTCTGCAGGATGAATGTTCCACCTAAATGCTGAGTTGAGATTGAACAAGTGATGCCAACATCCTGACCCCAGGTAACCTCACCAGCAGGATTCATGGAGATGCTGGGCTTGGGGAGTCTCACTGAAAAAAATAATACAATGTTATAGCAATATATACTGAAATTGTCTTTGAGCTGAGGTGCACATATTTATTTTAGGTGCTTGCTATTTCTACATGATTTAACATACAAACTAACAAAAAAAACAAGATTGGGAGATGTATTTTCCTTACCATTAACAGAGAGTCTGACAGAGTCACTTAAGGGGGAGCTGAAGTCTCGACCTGAAACCTGTGTCTGATACTGACACTGGTATGCACCCTCATTGTCAAAGTTGGCTTTAAGGATGCTAAAGGTAGTAGAGTTGTTACATGATGTTTGGGTCTTTCTGAATGAGGCTGAGGTCTTCTGCAGGATGAATGTTCCACCTAAATGCTGACTTGAGATTGAACAAGTAATGCCAACATCCTGNNTGGAGATGCTGGGCTTTGGGAGGCGAACTGAAAAAATATCATAATGGTAGAGCAACATTAGAGATGAGCAAGTACACAATTATTTGTCTCTGTTCAACCAACTGAATTATCTGTGTTTGTATCTGTACTTGGAATAGCTGGTGCTTGTACCGGAAGTTGCTAATTTAAGCCTGAGATTAATAGGGGATGATCAGAAGTTGCTGTATTTATTAGAAAACAGCCTCCGAATTGAGCTTTATTTTTCATCACTCGGGTAAGAAAAATATTAACTTGTTGTTGTATTATAAAAGTTGCTATATTAAGTGTGGATACTGACATATTTTACTTTGATGATACTTGTACTCGAAAAAAGTATATTATCTCTACCGGATACTCATTTTAGCTGAGTACTCATTCAATATATACTGCCTTAGAGCCAAGGTGCATCTCTTTATAAGGGCCCGAGCACCAACTAGTGCTAAGGCCCTATTGTATTTGAATGAATTATTATTATTATTCCTGATTGCCAAATGGCATCTTTGGAGGCCGCAACATGCTCCAAATCTCATGAAACATGTCAGTCGTGGCAAAAATTCAGGAATTCTATGGGTACACATATAGATCATGTCCAGACGTACAAATAAAAACTTCATGGAACCATATCCCAAACACCACAGGAAATGGGCCATTTTGAATCGTGAAATTTGGTCAGTGCAGTCTAAAGACCATCCAGTTATCAAGTCTTGAGTTTTTACCAAAAGGCATGTTTGTGGTGTGGTGACAAAATGTTTTACCATAAAAGAGGAAGTTGTCATACCTTCAGTGTAGTTTGTCTTATCTGCACCAAACTTCAAATGTCTGATCAGAGTCTTACCCTGAACATATTTATATAACAATATTTTAGCAAGAAATTACTTATGTTAGTGGTGTGTAACGCGACTGCAGCACACCCTGATGTCCACAGATCCAAGGGCCTGTTTATCGCTGCTTACGGCTTTAATTTTTACTTTTATTTTCTATATAGTTTAGTAAAAGTTAAGAAAAAAAATCAAGATTGGGACACGTATTTTTCCTTACCAGACACAAAGAGTCTGACAGATTCACTTGAGGGGGAGCTGAAGTCTCGACGTAAAACCTGTGTCTGATATTGACACTGGTATGATCCCTCATTATCAAAGTTCACTTTGAGGATGCTGAAGGTAACAGAGTTGGTACTTGACGTTTGGGTCTTTCTGAAAGAGCCTGAGGTCTTCTGCAGGATGAATGTTCCACCTAAATGCTGAGTTGAGATTGAACAAGTGATGCCAACATCCTGACCCCAAGTAACTTCACCAGCAGGATTCATGGAGATGGAGATGCTGGGCTTTGGGAGGCTCACTGAAAAAATACCATAATGTGACATTAGGGATGAGTGAGTACACCATAATCTGTACCTGTTAAACCAACTGAATAAACTGTATTTGTATTCATACTTGGAACATGTGGTGCTTAAACCAGAAGATGTTAATTTAAGCCTGAGATTGATGAGGGTTGATCAGAAGTTGCTCTGTTAATAGGAAAACTATTCACAGAACAGCCTCTGAATTAAGCTTTAGAGTAATGTTTTTGGTCCCTTGGGTAAGAAAATTATTGACAAGTTTTCGTATTATAAAAGTTCCCATATAAACAAGTGTGGATACTGACACATTTTACTTTGATTATACTTGTACTGGTAAAAAGTAAATTATCTGTACCAAATACTCATTTCAGCTGAGTACTCATTCAATATATACTGCCATTGAGTCAAGGTGCATCTCTTCATTTCAACTTATAATTTCTATATAGTTTAGTACAAGTAAAAAAAAAATCAAGATTGGGACACGTATTTTTCCTTACCAGACACAAAGAGTCTGACAGATTCACTTGAGGGGGAGCTGAAGTCTCGACGTAAAACCTGTGTCTGATACTGACACTTGTCGGTAACGACTCTCCTCGTTATCAACATTTCACTTTGAGCATGACTAGAAGGTAACAGACATTGGTACTGATAGTTTGGTAACTCTTTCTGAATGGAGCCTGAAGGTCTTCTGCAGTGATAAAAGTTTCCAAAACCTGAATGCTCGAATTGGGACGTTGAAACAAGTAATGCCACAATGTCACTGACACTCAGGTTAAACTTCACCACTTAGGCTTCACATGACCCTGATGTGGGCATTGGGGAGAATAGCTACACTGATTAAAAAGAGCATACCAGTGTCATCAATAGTCATTTATGAAGCGACCCATGATTATGTGAGATGATACAAGTGATACTAACAATTATCTGTAATCTGCTAATTAAATCGCTCCATGA